CTTTAAAGCATCTTGAACATTTTGTGCTATTTTTCTTAGTAGATGACGCCAAGACAGGGTTATTTTAGACATTTTATTAAATAAAAAACAACTGACCAAAAAAAATAGGTAATAAAATGCAACAATTATTAAACGAGTAGCTAAATTAAAACATTAATAGAAACTTACCTATATGCTTTTAACCAATATCGTAAAAGCCAGGACGCCAAAGCAACATGCAATCTAACTGGGCACAACAACAACATCAACAATTTTACAAGAACTTTTTATTACATAAAAAACAATTATCGTGGTTAGCAACTAGTTAACAGAAATATAACTTATAATAGCGTGAATTGTCTGATTAATCAGTCAGCTGATTCCCGATCGTCTGCCGGTACCTTACTCCCCTATCGATTCTCTGCACTACGCGAACTTAGGACTTAGCTTAAAGCACACCCCAAATCTCACTCACTGAAACGACATGGACTAGTAGTCCACCCCACCATGATTATTGGCGGGTTATTTAAATGTTCGGGTGTTTGAAATCTGTACAATGGGGAATTTGTTATAAATATTACAGGTAATATAATTAAAAAATATGGTGTAATGTAAATAAATATATCTATAAGCTTTTTATTTAAATAAACCTAAATATATACATATTATTTACTAATGTCTACTAGTTCATCGTAAACTGGTAATATGCGTTTAAGGTGACTTATATTTAAACATAGAATAATATAGGTATATTAACTAGTACCCACAAACAAAAGCGTTTAATTTATCTGTTAAAAAACGTTAAGTATAAAAATGGTAGATGGTAAACGTTTAAAAAATCAACCAAGACGAAATTTAAACGGGAGTTATAAACGAAGAACACATTGTAATATTATGTAAATTTATACGAATTTAATTTAAATAAACCTAAACGTATATTTAGGCCCACTGTATATAAATAGTTCATCGCAAACTAAAAATAGTCGTATATTGTTAACTACATTTAAACGTAGAAAAATTTACAATTATATACCATAGCATGTATACAAAAAACGTATAATATATCTTTTAAAATACGGCATGTATAATAATCGTTAACTGTAAACGTATACAGAATCAACCAATACCAAAATTAAACGAGTATTACGTATAAAATTTAGTTATACTAATGTGTGCTGCCTGGGAAGTTAGTGGATAGTCCGGTGGCCTATACGTTACACAGATGCCGATATTCATTTTATTTATGGGTATTTTCATCCACAATTGTTCAATATTATTACTTGAATCTATAACACTATAGCAAATATATTTTTTTAGAAATATACAAACCCCTCCACATCTATTCAATACTGTCTCGACATACCAGGTTATATCCATCAATATTAATAATATAATCACTAATGTGTGGTTTTAACCATGTTTCTGTGATACAAATAATATCAAAATTATGTTGAACTAAATAAGTGTAAAACATTTAAGGGGGTGATTCCTCATCGAAAAAAAGATAGGATCTTTCATATAAAGAAACTTCATTGGAGCATCCCTTGTTAAGATACATCCCCTTAAAGGGGTACATAAAATTTTTGTTTAACAATTTCTTTCACAAGCACTAAACAAGTTACAATATTGAAATTAACCTGTCATTTTTCTACTAGCAAAAAGACACTTAGCCAGTAATTTATTTGGTTTGGGTGGAAAACGCAACCCCTAAAATTTCGTTCCGACGTAACTTTTTGTCTTATTATTTGTTTACCATTTAAAATTTTATTTCCGATAGCCTGTGTCATTCTAAAAAAAATGTCTCTTGAATTGTTTGCCCAAAATAAACCAGTTCGCAGCAAAACATACAACATGTAGAAATCATAGTAAATGTTCAATATGTCTACCTTCAGACATTACGCATGCGTCTAGACGTCGGCGCATTGAGCCACGTATTTGCTTAAATAATCTTGGAGTCCTCTACATCGCGAACAGGAGTACGATAAACCAAATGCTGCAAATGGCCCCAAGTAGAGAAATCGAGAGGATTGAGATCCGGGGATCGAGCGGGCCAATTCTGTGCTCCTCCTCGATCTATCCACTGATTTGCATATGTTTCAGTTAAATGCTGACGTGCTACTTGACTAAAATGGGCGGGAGCCCTATCATGCATAAAAAACATATCCCTTCTGACGCCCAAAGGAACTTCTTCCAGCAGTACGGGATGCACTTCTCTTAAAAATTGAACGTATGCCTCACCATTTAATCGAGGAGGTAGAAAATGAGGCCCAGTTAAATAATCACCAATAACTCCGGCCCACACGTTAAGAGAAAAGTGTTCTTGATGGTGAGTTTCGACAATAGCGTGAGGGTTTTCATCAGCCCATATGTTGTAATTATGAAAATTAATAATCTTGTCCCGAGAAAAACTACTTTCGTCTGAGATTAATACTTTTAGGAAAAATGGAACAAATGTTAAGATGAGCAATTTTCAAAAACTGTTTCATTATTCCTAAGACATAATAGTAATAAATTGACCCAATTGTAAAATACACCGAATTATTTTCAATTTACAATTTAATGAACTAAACCAAAACAGAAAACAAAGCTAAGTACAATGGCAAATTCTCCCACTAAAGATAAAGAAAATAAACATTTATTAAATTAATTGAATATGCTTAAATATTTTAAAAATAAATTAATATCTAAATTGTATAAGAGATTTACCAAATTATTTTCTCAATTATTCACAAATTCGAGTTATTTAGATTTTTTTTCAATACAATAGCTTCGTTCCCTTACAGAGCTCGATTTTTGTTAAAAATTTCAAATTGATATCAATTTTTTGTTTTCGAGTTAGAATTTTTTTTAATTATTTCAACCCCCTTAACCCCTTATTTTTATTCAGATTTTTTTCAGAATCAATTGGCTTCATCCTCTTATAAATCTTGATTTTTCCTGAAGATTTCAATTTGATATAGTTTTTGTTTTTGAGTTAAGATTTTTTAACTATTTCACCCCCTTAATCCCCCATTTTTATTTAGATTTTCTTTAAAATAAATAGGCTTTGTCCCCGTATAGAACTTGATTTTTATCTGAAATTTTTAAATTGATATCGTTTTTCGTTCGTGCGGACAAAAAACAACATCGAACGGACCAACAGACGGAGGGACGGAAGCGATTGCATAATACTCTTCACAGACTATTGTGTGAAGAGTATAATGCCTTAAAGGGGTCCTCTAGTTTCAGTGTTGTTTTTTTACGGCTTTTTCAATAATTTTTTACGGGAAAACCATCGAAATAACAAATCTCATTGTTTTTACATAATCTTTATTAACATTTAAATAAGCTTTACAAATTTTTTGAAGACAAAATATATAATAGAATCAAAGTTATAGTGGCGGACAGGAAGTAAAGGAGGTGCTTGACGGTGACCACGATATTTCTACAAAACTGTTAATTTACAAATTAATGTTGTCAGAGCTAAACGATTATTTATCGTCATTAAGACTAAAGCATTGTGATTAATTCGAAATAAATATGTATTTCAGTAAGGTAGAGTTGCCTTTCGATGGGACATTTTAGGTAGGTAAATTATTTTAAGTTTTTTCTTTATAAAAAACTTACTAATCTACCTAATCTGAGATTTCGCGATTTGCAAAAAAAAAATTATACAAAAGTGAGAAAATTCAAAAAGAACTTAATTAATTTACCTAACCTGTGCGGCATGGAGCCGTCGAGGATTGCTTCACAAAAAATAATACACAAAAATGAGAAAAATTAAAAAATTTAAATTTAACTGATTACTTTCGCACAGGTTAGCTAAATTAGTTTTTTTTTTTCCATTTCTTCTGTATTTTTTTGCGAAGCAACCAGCGTTGGCTCTTTGTCGCATTGGTTGGGTAAATTATTTGAAAGTTTTTTTGTTTTTTCTAATTTTTTGTATATTTGGTTTTTCGATCAATTGTTTTCTCTATCAAATCTATTTTCGATCATTTTTCTTTTCGATCAATTGTTATTTGATAAAATGTTTTTTCGATCAATTTTGTGCCACTCGTTCTATTGTAGGTACTTATAAATTCACCTTTTGCTTATTGGCGATGCCGATGTGGCGTTAAATAGTACCTAATATTTATAAATGCAATCGAATGGAATTTTTTTTGGGGAACTTAAAGGGTCTCGCGCTTTTTTATGGAAATTAGTTTTTTTTGTTGGATAAAACCAAATAATACTTTAAGTCTTGGTCACAGTAAATTTATTCAAAAGTAATTTCAGTTTTCAATAAATTTATTGTGTAGGACACTAGTGCCACGTTTGTATCTAAGAAGGTAGGATATAAAATATGTAGGAAGTAGGTAAATAAACTTAAAATATTAAATATATAATAAAATTCTGTAAATATTATACCTATTGTATTTATATAAAATATTTGAGGATAAAACCCTTTATGGATTATAGGTAAAACTTTTAATCTAATTTAACAGGTATTAATAGTTATTTCCTGAATTTTATTCGAAGGGTTTTACCCAAAATCTCATTAAACAGGTGTTGGCGTCTTTGAATAGATAGGTGAGTTCAGTATTTCTTTATAGTTCTATATATAAAATCGTAGGCTGAGTTACACACTTTTTTAATTTCTATTGAATTTACCGATGACCGTAGTGCAGAAAATAAATTGTTCGAATCATTTAAAACGCAATATTGAAAATAACCTAAGATTGCTAGTGAAAAAAACTAATAATGTAGGACCTGTTCCAGTAGCAGGCAGAAAAATGTTGGAACGGAACATTTGCAGAATAGAAGCTGCAATAAGACAAGCTATAAGATATAGAAAAAATGAACCCGATATCGCGTTTCAAGACAAAATAAAAAGAATATAAAAAAAGATGTTTTAAACACACCAAAACACGTTTTCGGTGATCACACAAATTGTGATCAATATTTTTGTTCTGGCAATAACCCATCAGACAATACAATAATTAACACTTTAAAAGAAAATGGACTTTGGATTGATATTTGTAAAGAATTACAAAACTTTGCAGACCAAAGCTACAGCCTTATTTATGACGTCAGCACAAATATCGCAGAAAATGTTAATGCTGTCGTTGCAAAGTACATAGGTGGGAAGCGTACATCCTACTGTTCCAGAGGGTCTTACAATGCAAGATGCCATGCTGCTGTTAAAGGTGTTAATGACGGAAGAACTTTACATGAAATGTTGCAAAATAAGTTGACAGGGAAGCCAACTGGAACTTACACAATGAAATATATAAAAAAAAAGATCAAAGAAAATGTGATGACTGTAAAGAGACTAAAAACCTACAAGAGGTATGAAAAAAGATCAAAAAAAGGCAATAAAGAAGAATTAGACTATGGATGTTCTAATATTTCCGATATTTCGCTGTTAGAATTGGAAGAAAAAATGCATGAGTTTTTGAAGAAACTAGATAAAAAACAATCAGAAATAAACGATTTAGAAAAAGCTACGATAGAACAAAATTGTGCACTTTGGTATGCTGAACGAAGAATGCGAGTAACAGCTTCATGGCATGGAGCAATAAGCAAAATGCGAGAAGACAATTTGCGAAAATAATGTCATAAACATATTATACAAACCTTTTAAGGGAAATACAGCCACCAAGTATGGGAAATCCAATGAAGATGTAGCAACAAAAACTGTGGCTTAGAGTATTTGGAACGACATTTGGTCTTTTTATTGATAAAACCTTGCCTTTTATTGCCTCAAGTCCGGATGGCCTAATATATGAAGATGGTCTATTAGAAATAAAATGTCCGTATAATAGTAAAGATTATACGCTACAAGAGGGAATAGAAAAAGGGCTCATAAAATTTGCAGTAATTAAACCTGATGGAGTTATGGAATTGAAAAAAAATAATAACTATTACTTTCAAGTACAAAGGAGGTTTACGACATCACCCAAGGATTCACATTCCTAAGTATTGCCACTCAATTAATAAACACCCTGTATAATTATATTCCTACAATATATATTTATTTTTAAATATATAATTACGCACTTACAAATATATTGTGGGCGTCTATTTTTTGCAAATTCGTGATAACTGAAGCGAGTCCAGTATAGATTATATTTTATTAAAACAAAAAATTAACAAAGTCCATAACTACGGTCAATTCAATAATAATAAACGTGTTAATTTTTATTTTATTTTTCACTCCCTAATAAATATTGAAAAATATATTAAAATCTACTTTTTTAAAAACTATATAATTAGTCGCCCACGTTATATTTATTTTGAGCCGCACGGTCCCGTATAAATATTTGCAAATTGTGGCCTACGCCAAGTAGACTAGTGCGGCTCTGGCTTCAAAAGTATAACAAGCGCAGGTATCGGTAGGCGGGACAATGTTATCTCCTAAACCTCCCTTGCCGCACTACACTTCCGAGGTAAGATTTTCATTTCGTACATGCCGAATTGGCGAACGTAAACCTTAATATGAAATATATTAAAATAAATTGTTAAAAATTGGACATTACCTATAATTTTGTAGTGTCTTAAAATTTACAAACTTTTTTTGAGGTTTTAAAACATTCAATTTGAATGTAGAAATATTTGTAGTCCTAGCGAAAGTTCGGCCTAGAGCCGGCTTTTCCTAAAATAATGTGATATCAGTAATACCACCAATGTAATTAAATTTTTAGTAAACAGCAGAAAGAATAAGAAAGAAACATTGTTATTATGCTCTCGGCCATAATTCTAATAACCCTTAGTGGTTGAAGCATATTGTATAATTATTACAATAATATATACTTATTAAAAGATAGAAAAATATAGAGACGTATCTACTTGTCTCCATTCAGCAACATACGGAAGTCCAATGGCGTATTGACGTTGGATAGGATTTACTTCGAATAAGACTTTTTGTATAAAGGCGTATTTCAAAATACATCGTATTATTAATTTAATCACAAATTATGTAGATATCGGAAGATCACTTCATAATTATGTATGCATTCAACAACGGTCAAATTTAGATCGGTGATTCAATTTTTCTGAGTACCTACGAAGTGATTCATAATTATCGTTATAAAATCGCAATATAAACATACACACCGGCCGCACATTAATTTTTAGTCTGAAACGTCGTGCTATTAATCAGATTGTTTTATTTTTTTGTTAATCTTAGGTTCCGACCATAAATTCTTTTCGCATGAAAATAACCGTTAAATTATGTTTTATGATTAAATTCTGAGGTGGTCCTGGGATATAAATTTTAGTGTTTGGCAAATTAAAAATTACTTAAAATTATAATTATTTTTTTTAGTCTGTGCAAGGTAAGTTTTTTAATGATTTATATTATGTGCATTTCAAATTGATAAACTATTCAGCTTAAAGTTGTTTGGGTATGGCCGAAATTTAAAAAAAAATCAAATTGAAATATTTTTAAAATGTGAGTATGGATATGTGACACTAAAAAATACCTTCCCAGCCATGATAGATAAATATATCTATACTGTTTTTAAACTAAGAGGAGCGAATTGAAAAGACGCATTTACACAGGGAAAAGTAACTAGATTTGTTACTAAGAGCGACTTTCGAAATATAATCGTGTTCAAAATTTATGAAATAATTATCTTTATCGGCCTTAGTCGGCGAACGGCCAATGAGCGGCTAAGAAACGAAAAAATGTCAAAGAAGTAATTTTTTAATTGGTCCCAGACAACGGTCGCAAATTTCACATTATTGTGATCTGAAACGTGTGTCTAAAACAAAATGTCACTGTTAAATTAAAGTCAATATGGTTGTTGATTGATGTCAGAAATACTTTCTTGTTTTTGAAATCGACTTTTTGAGAATAACTATGATCTTTTTAAAATGAATATTAAATATTTAAGAAAATTGTTAATGGAATATCCAGATGTAGCCAGGTTCGTATAAAATATAAAGATATGTTTACATTTTTAAGGATAATTTTTTATAGGTATAAATAGTAAAAGTTAATCATTGAATGACAAGTGGATCACACAGAAACTGGTATCTCTTCTATGAGTAATGTGGATATTATAACTTATTTAGTGTTAACCCATGGTTAATGCACTAGAGGGCAAATAAAGGCATTTAAAAGTTTACAGGCCTATGAGTCAGAATTTGTTTTGAAAACTGGAACCAACATTTTCATAACACTACATGTCAACATATATTTTTTAAAGTGAACTATTCATACATACATACCTATGTATTAATTTTAAGTATTTTTAAAACATTTTTTGTGAAAGTGATGTTAACTCATTGTGCCAAATTAAGATTATCCCTAAAGTAGTAGATGGTGTTTTAAATGTTATAACAATTTTGTAAATAGTTTTATTCTATTCTAATAAATAAAATTTACTTAAATATTTAGTTACATTTTAATCATTTTGATTAGAAATTCATCAATTTTTAGTTTTAAAAAATCGGTAATAAAATTTTTTTTTTCTAAAATACTTCGGAATTCATCTCTTCATGGTAATCTCCCATCTTTTTACCTTCAAAAACCAATATTGCATTTTCTACAAAACCTTCAGAATCAGCATGTAAAATAATAAGGTTTCTTCCCTTTCTTGTAAGGCTTTTCAGGAATTGCTACCTTTAATAGTACTCAGTGTAGAAGGATCCATAATTGTAGATTTTCAATACAATTGCTTACTGAAGAACTATTATTTGCGAAATAAAGTAAAAAACTAAGTAATGGATGAGATATCAAATTATAAAATGTCAGAACTGTCAACAATATCAATTATTAGCTGATGTTCATGCTAAAAAGTAATGTGTGAACCTGACTGTAATCTGACCAATCAGAAGGCTACAGAATTGCCAACTTAAATTCAAATCGCTCCTCTTAGTTTAAAAACAGAGTATAGTAACTTTCAAACTAGCATTTGTTTATAAAATTTTATAAAGAATTTTGCGTTTGGTGAAATTGAAACAATGCAGTGTTATCAAAATTTTAACAAAATATTAGAATAGTCTTAAACATTTTCTTGAATGAATCATTAAAATACTTGTGCGCCTTTTGGGATCAAACAGGGGTGGCCAAAGGAACTGTAATAACAGAAGTTACCCGCAGTAATATGTTACGTACGGCTGTTGACGAAGAATGTTCTCCTTCTTCTTTATAATATCAAGTATACCCAAGATCACACAAAACAAATAAAATCCAAATTATTCTCTCGGCGATTATAAATTCATTAAACTGAACCACACCACACAGAATTTGAACCCAAGCCGATAAGGTTCCCATCCTCTATATACTGGATCAAAACCTGCTAGATCCCACCATCCCTCCTGCTGACTTCTCTGCAGGGTGTCTCAAGATCTGGATCATTTGGTTTGTATGCCATTCCTTCTAAAAGCGCTTTTGAATGATGACATACTATCGTCATTTAGGCGAGGCGCTGCTGAAGGCCTAACCCTGTTACTTCGTCTATTTTGTGTGCGCGTAATCTCTTGTATCTGTCGCCTGTGAAAGCTCTCCTAGTCCCCATTGAGGACTAGAAAGACCATCTCCAATCAGGCGGTTAGTCGTCTGTTATACAGTCCTTGTTTGAAAAAGAATGCAGAAAAAAATCGAATAAATAACGAGAAATCCCATTTTTGCACCTTCGAATTCTCCGCCACTAGCCACCATACTCCAGCAGTTAATGTGGTCTGGCGTGTCTTCTATAGGCATGTCTCTCGTACTGGGCGAGTTCTCTTAGCTCTATATTGAGGTGTAGTCATAAATGTTCGAAGATGGTGGATTCCAGATCCCTAAATTTAACATCGTTTCGGGTGTCTTAAACATATATGACCTGTTGGCTCTGAATCTTCTTCATGTTTGCCTTGCAGGTGTATGCTCAGGCCGTGGAAGCATACATCAGTATTATTGGCAGTATTACTGACTGGATGAGTCTTAGCTTGGCCTCAAGATGTTTGCTTTTTCCTCATATAAAGCAGTTCATCCTTGATCTGGCTTGTTTAATCTTGCTTACTACCATGTCCACGTGGCTGATGAATGTTAATTTGTCTTGCATCTTTTCTCTAAGGTATTTTGCAGATTGAGTCCTTGGGATGTTTTGTCCGTTCATTTTGATTTCTTCGCCTAATTGGTGCACACTTTAGGTTTTATCGGCATTGATCTTAATTTTCCACTTGGTGTACCATTCTACGATTTCTATTGCTGCTTTTTGGAGATACCTTGATATCATTATTGGCTGAGTGCTTCTTGATGATATCGTTTGCGTTATGTCCTCGGATCTTAGTTCGACTCGCTCCTTTTTATACGTCATTTTACAAACGATACGAAATTGAAAGAGAATATCGATACCAGGGGCTCTTTCTCCATTGGTTCATTTGTGCAGTGAACACCCACTTAAATTTCATAAGAGCACATTATTTTATAAATAACTTAATAAAATAAATTCACTTTAATATATTTATTATTTTCGTACGTATTAATCTCTACTTTTTTGGTACCCCACTGCGCTCAGGCTGATCGCGTCTGTTGGTTCAATATGTTGATTGGGCGCGAGAGGTGTCTGAAAATGAATGTTAAAAAGACAGGTTAATAGATCCGTGAAACAGCAGTGTGCC